GGGGGGATGCAGTTAGTTATGAGCATGGGTGTGAGATACGGATCCGCGAGCACCGCTCTAGGCATGAGGTGGGGGCGGGGGTGGATTGAGTAGAAGGCGAGGCGGAGGTAAGGCGTGTGCTCTCGGCGGTGCTCTCCCGCCCCCGCAGCAGGCCGCCCCTGCCTCCCGCCTCCGCCACCTCCTCCTCCTCACCGACGAGCAGCTCGCGGAGCGCCTCGCGAAGTATGCCTCGCGGATCGCCCCGCCAGCGGATCTGCACACCACCCGCCGGGCCGCCGGCCGCCGGGCCTCAGGCCCCTCACTCAGGCCGACGCCGTCGCCCCGTGAGCACGTCGCAGAGCAGTCGCCCCCCTCGGATCGGGACCACTTTGGAGTTGAACCGCCCAACCGGTGCGCGGGTGCCAACATGTCAACTAGTGCGCTCGTGTGCACCAACAAGTAGTGAACGAGTGAGTCGTTATTGGCACACCGACTAGTCCGTGAACGACGACTTGTCGCGAATAATAATTGTGCGTGAATGCTGACCCGCCAACCATTGCGAGTGAGCGCACCCCCGTCGTGAGCAACTGCATCCTCGGCGGAGAGGCGCTCGCACCCATCCTACGCCGGCTCCAGGATGCCCCGCGCGCTCGTCGCCCTGCTGGCGCAGCTGGCGCTGGCCGCGCTCGCGGTCGGCCCGGCGTCCGCCACCTTCCACATCAAGTCGGCGCTCTTGAGGGAGCTGGGCAGCGGTACGCGCGCCGCCCGCCCCGCCAGGTGAGTGCTCGGTGCCGTCGCCGACGTCCCGATGGCAGCTCCAGGTGTTTTCCCACCTCATTACGACTCGTAGAGTAAAATGTCTTCCTGCGCCTGTACAGTAGAGAGTGACGCGAGAGTGCCTGCTCCGCACACGTGCCCCCCAGCGAAACAAAGTCAACTCTGCATTACCAAGTGTTTCCCTCTCGGCATCGCACGTTGGTTGCTCTCGACGGTGTGAGGCGAGATGTGTGCAAGGTAGTCGGGGGAGTGTTGTTGTCGTCCCAGAGATTGTCACCGCGTTGTGATTGTGACCCTGCCCGGCACGACCGACAGGTCCAGGTTCATTGGCGGCATAATGACGAGTAGAAACAAACCATCAATGCCAACCGAACACAATGGGCGTGGGCGCCGGCACAGACTGCTACGATAATTTTTCTGACGGATCGCGCATACCTTTTGGAGTTCACGGCCAAGAACTCCACCCCGCCGAAGGCTCGAAGGCCGGGGCGCGCGCGGGTCCAAAGTGGCACTTTGCGGGCGGGCCTGGCGTGGCGCACGTCGACGACGGCGAGAAGTGTCAAGATCGGCTCAATTACCTCCATTGGCGGGTGGGGCTACTTTAGTCTAGAGAAACCACCTGCTCTTTCACGCTTTCAAGGGCCTTTTCTTCGACCAGCAGAAAGGGGACGCGCCTCGGTTTGGTTGTAAGCATGATAAAAAAAGAACACAAAAAACAACAACACAAAAACACACAAACACAACACCGGTTCACCACTGCGACGTCCAAACCCTCGTGGTCCTGTGGGTACTGTGTGAGCCACGGCGCCTGTGAGTCAGTCGATAGGCCACCCGGTGAGCGGGCGTGTCGTGCGGGGTAGCCTATCTTGTTGCGGGTGGCCTATCTTGTTGCGGGTGGCCTATCCGCCGGTTCGCAGGCGCCCGGCCGAACGACCTTTTACACGTCAGCGCCCGCCGGAGGGGCCGCGGCGGGCGCACAGCACGTTGTGCCCTGCCAGGACGCCGCACGGCTGACCTGGCTGCCTCCGTCTCGAAATACGTTGCATCTCTCTTGCAGCAGTCGGCCGTATGTCAGTGCAGCGCTCTATCGCGGCGAGGAGTGCGCTCCTGCGAGAGCGCTGGACTCTTCCCTTTCGCGGAGCTCCGCTAGCGGCGCGAGCAGGCAAGGTCAGCCCCCCTGGCCGGGCCGGGCCGGGCCGGGCTTGGGCTAACCCGCTCCATGTTGGCCCTTCTCTCTCGTAATGCAGCACCGCGGCTGCCGGCAGCTCGGGGCGCGCGGACGCGACAATGACACCACTACACTCTCGGAGACACAGACACTCACACGCACGAGTCTCGCACTATTACCCCCCCCCCCCCCCGGGTCCGATTGCAAAGCCGATAGGAGCAACAGGGGCAGAACGTGCCCGAGCGTTACAATGCCCGACGTCACGCCGCGTCCTCAGACCTCGCCCCATAGAGCCGCCAGCCCGAGCGCCGGCCGCCCTAGAGACCCCCATTCAGTGGCTCGCCGCTACCGCCGCTACCGCCGCTACTTGCTGCTACTGTGCGACCCCGGCCTCAGAGAGCAGCACAAACTGTACACCCAAAAAAAGCGCGTTCTTGGATCAAGCCCATTTGCCCTTTGAATCGAGTGCAATGTATACTTGGTTGGATCAATTAAGTACCATTGTTTTAGAGTATGTAGGGTTGAATAAACCCCAATTTGTTGTCAAACTGCCCCTCTCTCCGCTTGAAATTAAACTCAAGTTCTTGTTTCGAGTCCGAATCGGGTTTGATCGGGCTTGATCGGGCTTTGAGTATGTATGGGTTACCTCCTTGTGGGTTGTGCCCCTTTCCTGTGTTATCGAATCACCCAAGTCGATTCCCGGTGCAATAAAGGGAGGCGCGTTTTGTTCCAGGCGTGGTATTCGTGAGGGAAGAGCGCGGCGGGGTGGCGGCGTGAGAGGCGCGTGCGCGATACAGTTTTAAATGTGCGGCGGTGTATGTGTAAGCTTTGCACATACACGAAAGCGTCCACGACGGTACGGCGGCTGGGGGCCGGCAGGGCGGCCAGACACGCGAGATACAGCCGGGCCAAGCCTAATGTCTCTCACAGCGGCGCAGGCAGGGCAGAGCCGGGCATGAGGCCCGAGCAGGGCAGCACCCGGGCAGGACACACTCGCGGGGTCCTTGTGCAAGCGCACAGACAAGCATCAGGTGGGCTGCGCGGCTGAGAGCGCGAGCGCGAGGGACGACGGCCGGCGGTGGAGCGAAGGTGAGCGCGCTAAATCATCTGCCAAGTACAAATGCCAGCCCACCAGCCAGAAAAAAATAAATGTTTTGTTAAGGGCTGCAATAAAGTTCAGAGGGAAAAAAATCTGTAGTGTAATGTGAATGTCACGAGTTAAGAATGTGATCTCACGTGGAGCACGTTTTGGTTCCCTGCGACTCCTCCATAAAACTAATTCCGAAACGAATTATAAGCGACGACGAGACAGAAGGCGAAGGCGGTGACTTGCAACTTTTATTCCCTCCTCGTATTGTGCACAGATGAGAACAAACAAGAAAGAGAGAGAGAGAGAGAGAGAGAGAGAGAGAGAGAGAGAGAGAGAGAGAGACCGTAGAGCAGTGGCCAACTTGCTATTAGAATAATCTGCCTAGTCGACTCCAGTCCAGCGGCGAGTCGTTGGCTTGTTGCTCGCAGCGCCTCCCCGAGCCTCCTGCCCGCGGCCCCTGCGGCGTGGCTCGGAGTTGCGCGCGATGCAACAGCTCCGCTCATTATTGTTATGAGGACGAATGAGCCGAAGATAACGACGCCGCACCGCGGTCGGGGCGCCTCTCGTCGACGTGCGAATCCACGCGCGCATTTTTAATTTTGCGACTTGCGCGCGACTCCATACCCAGAAAAGCGCGTATTTGATTTTTTTTTCGTGTTACTTGATTTATTCAAGGACGACGCGCCTGTTTTAAGAGTCTTCTACCAAGTTCAGATTGTCCTCAAACAAGCGCACTCTTCTTGAAAAATCAATTGCAATGTTCTTATATCAAGAACGCGCTTTTTGGGGATGCGATGTAACGCTGGGAGCAAGCGAGTATCCAAGATTTACAGATTGGGACAGGGAGGGGGGGGGGGGGGTCCACGCCACACATTTCCCCTACCTACGCGATTGGCTATCGAAATAACTTGTATTCATCGCGATTCGTCTCCAAAAACCACCCGGAAGGAAGGCGGTTCGCTCCGGTTATCTCTCCCAGCCGCGGTGACCACCGCGCCGACACTTCCTCTTCTCGTCTGCGGTATGCCTTCGGTCGTCGGACCCCTCCGGACCCATCCGGACCCATCCGGACCCCTCCGGTCGGAATGGGCAGCTGCGGCGGGGGGTGGCAGGGCAGTCCGGCCCGGCCCGGTCCGGTTGTCGGGTCGCTGCTCCTGAACTTGAACTTGAAAGCGCCCCGCCCGGGCTGGGCCGGGCCGGGCCGGCCAGAGACGCACTCAAGGTCTGAGGCTCGGTCGAGCGCGGCGCCGCCCCGACCGTCGACGTGAAGAGGGTCCGCTCCGCGGTCGCGTCGCGTCCCCACGCCACTGCCAAACACCGCTGACCTCCCAGCCCGGCGGCCCCTGTGCATCGCGAGCGAGCTCACTGAAGGCACGGCTGCCATCGTGAGAGATTCAGAGGCACAGAGTCACCATTTCAGGACCAAACGCGCATGCGCGCGTGCCGCGGCAGAAAATCGCAGCGGGAGCGGAGACAGCGAGAAGCAAGCGTGCCAAAAACCGCCGATCTGGGGCAAACCACACCGCGGCTGCCGGCAGCTCGGGGCGCGCGGACGCGACAATGACACCACTACACTCTCGGAGACACAGACACTCACACGCACGAGTCTCGCACT